CAAAATCGCTCAACAATGGCGAGATCTGCGAAAAAATCACTTCCAAGACGGGCGCAGATCTTAATGAAGGCAATTAATGTGCCTGAACCTACTTTACCCTAGGCTGTAATGTGAATGACGTGAATGCCCTTTCACCTCCAAAATTGGACGTATACTTGGACTGTAATTACGCCCATGCCACCGCGTGGTCAACTTAAGTCCAGTTAATCTCAACCTTTAATCTGGACGACCCAATGGTGTATTATTGTTCTCATTTCTTTCATTGTCCCCCTTTCTCATATGATCCATATTCTCTCTATATATATATATACATATATGCGCTCCGGTAAGAATGAGTCTTAGTGAAAGAAATGAGAATGCATCTCATCCACTAGATATACTAGATCGCACGAACACAAACCTGCCATCAAATTATTAATATGAAGGCATTTTAGAAATTTAATATTCAAAGCAAATTAGGCATTAGATCAGAAAATTTTCCATTCACGTATTGACCGCGTCTATCACTCTCCAGATTCAACTTCAATTCACAGGTCTTTCAACACTGCTTTCAACGTCGAGATCGCGACGACAGTGGCGAAGACGAGGATGACATCGAGGATGAGCCACGTGCTCTATTTCGGTCTCCGACCCCATGCGTGAGCCAGATCTTCAGGCCTCTGTTGGTGGTGGGCGTTTGAGGTTAAGGTCCAGGCCGACGACGACAGCGGCGAGGGTGGGCACGAAAAGGCCGACAGCGCTGATCCTGCCAACGCTTGAGATCCGCGTGAAATTGCGAAATTCCTTCTTCTAAGGTTTTAATTAGATTTCGTGATTTTTGGGATGAATTCATAGTGTGCCTTCGCGCTCAACTTCATTGACACATCTTTTTGCGTCGCCTTCAACTTTTGGCACACGCTATTTTTAATTTTTTATTTTTTATTTTTTTTTTGGGAAGAATTTCATTTCAGCAAGATGCACTTAGGTCCAATTTTGTTCTGATTAGTGTGTGTGTTTAGGATTAGTTCTTGTTTCTATTTTGTTCTTAATTCACGAGAGTACGTCTAATTTTGAATGAAATGATTTATGCTTTTCTTCTTTTCTATACAAAGATTGGTATAAAGACATACCAATCTTTGTTTGCATTATGATAATCTAAACAGATGTGTTCTGGTTATTGGAATGTGCAGGTCCTTGTGTGTAGAAATTTGGTGGACTTTCAGGTGATGGGATTAGTCTTCAGTTTGGTTGGATGCTTTCTTCGTGGTTTATTGGTAGTTTTCTTTAGCAGTAGCTGGTTTATTGGTAGTTTTATTCTGGTTTTTTTTTTTCTTTTCATAGTTCAAGTTAGGCTATGTTGGGTAAAACTAGCTGATAAGCTAGCTTATAGCTTATATGTATTTTCGAGCTTATAGCTTATAGCTTATGACTTATAACTGAAAAGCTAGCTTATATGATAAAAGTGTTTGGTAAAATTAGCTGATAAGCTAGCTGGAATAAAAAATTCAACTAGCTTATTTGAAAAGCTACCTAAACAAGCTTATTAAATAAGCTCGAACTTTTTAAATAAGCTCGTCCTACCAAACGGGGCTTATTTGAATACAAGAAGCTTATAAGCTAACCAAATAAGCTATAAGCTAGCTTATTTGGTTTACCAAACATAGCATTAGCAGATTGCAGATTTCTGAAGCGGATCTCTGCTGCACTCTGCTTTCTTTCTTTGTAGTTTGGTTTTCCATTGTTTAGGACACCTGCGTGTGTTCAATTGTTTTCGATTATTTAGGACACCTGCGTGTGTTTCTCCTTTATCGGCGGGTTCATCAGCTATTAGCTTGTAAGCCTTCGAACTTTGTTGTACACTATTAGTTATAAAATCTATGGTTTCGTAAAAAAAATTGATAATATAAAAAGACTTGTTGATTTGTCATTATTTGCGCAGACTAAATCATTTTTTGTCCAGGATTCTTAATGTTTTTTTTTTTAGTTCTCATCTTTACATAGCATTAGTAGACCTAAACAATCTGAAGAATGACTTGTTATTAATATCTCACTTTTTTGAATGATTGTTTTTATATTTTGAAACTTTCATGTTAGATAATTATTTTTTTAGTATCAAACCCATTTATTTGATACTAAAGCACGTGACAGTGGAGATCCTCTCCCGGCTGAGGTTGTTCGCCTGAGCTGGCGACATAGTCGGGGAAGAGTTGGCAATAGAACGATTTTTTTTCTTTTTGGGAAGGGGCGCTTCTATTTAAAATTAGACAAGTCCTAAGGGCTTATCTACAATTTTGTAATTTAACATATTTCAATTTCGACCTTCAGGTAATTTAATAAAAGTTTGATAGTTGCCCAATAATGTTCAATCGGGCGCACAATATCACATTCGATATGCACATTAAAAATAAAAATTAAAATATTTTGATATTAAAAATATTTTTTTTATAAATCTTTATTTATTGCAATTAAGTTCATGTAGTAAATCTGTAACTTATTAAAATAAATTAATAAATACTCATTATTTATAATCAAATGTACATTATGTGCATATGTATGCATATTAAAAAATTATGTGATGTAGAATGCACGACAGTGTTAGACTAAATGCATATTAATGAATTTAATAATGCACATTAGTGTAACATTAGATTATGGTCAGTGACACTGCTTGAAACATAAAAAAAAAAAAGCACTGATAATGTTATTGTGCATTTTTTCATGTACTGATGTGCAGTTAATTTGACTCTATTGTGCACTATGAAGTGTGGATAGATGTGCACAATTTTTGACGAAAAAAGGAAAAAAAACTTATCAAACAATCGCTGTAAAAATTTTGAAAATGTTTTTATATGTCGATTTTTACTTAAATTTTCGGTTATGTCAATTCCATGGCAACTTTATTTTCAATTAAAAAAATAGAGAAAAAAAAACAAAATATCCAAACCTCAAGAACTATCTAAAAAATATTATTTTATTATATTTTATAAAAAATAATTATTTTATTCAGTAAATTACATTATAAAATATTTCATACAAAATTTAAAATAATAAGTATATTTTTCTAATATAAATATGAATTTATTTTGATCATTTTTG